ATACAGCCGAAAAACAACCTCATCCAAATAAAAACTGTTTTTTCCACCTAAATTAGCGATTTTTTTAAATTCTCATGTTTCCATTAAGTATATTTGTTTTCATAATTCCAATTTGCGCTGTTTCATTTTTAATTTACTTTTCATATTTAATGAAAATGATTGAGCATTCAGTTAATAAAACCAGAATTTAAATTACTTTAGCAACATACACCTGTTTCATGATAATATATTAAAAAATTTACTGAGGTTTCCTTAATAAACTGTCTAAATTCAGGGTAAGAGGTGAAATATGTGTCAGTAATAGCAGTTACACTTTACAAAGGATTTTTTTTCAGCTTCTCAGTACTCTCAGCAGCAACATGGACAGGATCATCCAGGGAGTATCAAAGTCTCAGTCTCTGTGTGATTATACTATTATTATTCATCACCCGATCTTTGTGTTTGAATTTCTCTTAGATTTGTTTTGATAAATCAGAAGGTGTGTTTCCGCAGGTGAGCCACAAAGGCTTTTCATTTTATTAATATTCTCAGGAGCAGAGCAGCAGGTCTGGGAGTCTGGGAGGCAGCCGACGTCCGCAGGAAGCTTTTAATTTCATCTTTTCAGACTTGACTGATTCTAAAGGAACAAATTAAACCAATGGTTTCAGAAAAGAAAATCCACGTCAAAAATACCTTTATCCTGCTGAGTAGGCGTTAGAAACTTTTATTAGTGTGACTTTATTAATGTATATTATAAACTTAAAGGTCTTTGAAAGAATCAGAGAAAGGCTTCCATGTCTTTCAGGTGAACTGAGTTGTTTTTTTTTCCAGTTGTGCAGCTCTTGTCTGTGTTTTCTCCTGGGGATTGTCACACTGTGAGGCTTTCAAACACCGCAGGACGTTTCTGTCTTGTTAAATCAGCCAGTGGATATGAATTATTGAGCAGAAAGTCAAATTTTTAGTTTGCAGCTTGTACAAAAAACATTGATACAAAGATACAAATATTGGTACGATTTGGCACAGAGTGTTTTTTTTTTTAGCAAACCCTATAGTTTTTTCTTTTCCCCCCTGAATGTGTCCCCAACAATTAATAACCATGTAAATGGTATCTAATGGTTGCCATGGACACATCATGACCTTGAGGTACTTTTTGCTGCAAAGCTCTCCGACAGTGATCTTTGGAGACTTTTTCTGCTTGAGGTTTTGAAGAACTGATTAATTAAAAAAGAGTGGTATATAGCAAAAAACAGAATTGTTACATTTCAAATGCAGTTACAAGTACAGATGTGCACTGATGATTGCATGATTTCCCCCCAACTGAATACATTAACTCAAATTAATGATTTTTCTTTGTCAGATTATGCTGCTGCATTACTGGAGAGTATTTTAAGACTTTTTGCACATCTTTTCCAAGTTTGCTAATAAATCTGAACACTGCAAAAACTGAATGGTTTGTAGTATAGTCACACTGTGAGCTACATGTACTGTGCAGCTTTCAAACACCGCAGGACATTTACATTCTGTTAAATTCTCTGATGGACATGCATTATTGAGCGAAAACTCTGGAAACAAAGTTTTTCAGTTTCCAGCTTTTACATAAGAAAGATTTCACATTTTCTCTCTTGTTCCATCCAGGCTTTGGTGGCGTTGAGATACCTGGAGGCATCACATCGATTGATTCAGGTGTATCCTACCCTTCACAATTTGTCATTTTAGAACTAAGACAAAGTAGTGTTGAAATGAAGTGAAAAGAAAGAGATCTATTATTTTCTACACTGCAAAAACACAAAATCTTAACAAGTGTCCTTGGTCTAGGTTCCATTGCAAATTATCTTAGAACACTTGAAATAAGACAAAACTAACAATTAAGAGATTGTTTTAAGTCACTGTCAGATTATTTCACTTATATATGGAAAAATGCCTTAATTTAAAAATTATGACATATATAAACATGTATGTTAGCCTGAATCGCCTCGAGTCAGAGCAATGAAGATGCTTGTGTGGGACTGACATAAAAATTCAGCAAGGAAAAAAAAAAAAAAGGAAAAACGTTCAAAAGTCCTGCCACAACATTTAAGACCTTCGACTTATGTATTTAGTCACAGCTCTAATAACAGGTCTCGAAGGCCAACCAACATCTTTTAAAAATTAGTTTAAGATATTTTAAGGCCTTAATTTTCAACTTTCACTTTATTGAAAACCCTAAAAACTGCTTGTTTTGTTGCAAATACTTCTGCTATTTTCTCTGCTGTCATGGATCCACTACAGGATTAATAAATATGAAAATATGATTAAATATTTATGCAGCTTTGACTGCAGTTCCCTAAAAAAATGCAAAAACGAAGTTGTAAATAGGTTTCACTCACTTCTATTAGTTTTACTATAAATACCACAAAATGTTGTTGGTACATTTCAAGACTATATTGCTCCGCTCTGATATTAATATTTAAAAGAGTCGGGTGTTTATCATTTTATCCAGAGTTAAACAGAGCCGTTGTGGAAGGTATAAAGAGCTGCAGGTTTCAGACCGATGATCATGCAGAACCTCCAGATGTGGGTTCGGGGGAAAAGCTCAACATTAATCAGAATATTACAGGAACACCTTGTTATTATCCTGATATTTATTTATAACCTTTGGGAGTTTTGACATTTTCAGCACTGAAAAAATAAAACAAACAGATTGAAAAAATCCTTGTTTAATGTTTATTAACGCAACCTTCTCCGTTCTCTTGGTGGCCCCCATCCCAAGCTTTTTTAAAAATAAACCCTCCACAAAACAATGAAAATCAAGTTACTTGACAATTTGTGTACATGCGTCATTGTCTTAATCAAAGCTGCAGCATTTAAAACAAAAAACAAAACAAAAAAAATGGAGAGAACGCATCATAAATGTAATCAGAAACCTTTAATACATAATCAGTAAGAGGAGAGATTTTAACTGCGCTGTAAATGTGCGCCATCGGGAAGCATTTAGACAATCCCCTGCTGGATTTTTATTCACAATCACTCAACTGTAAACTGGTAAATAACCTGTTTGTTTGCACTCATGTAGCGTGGTTACTCAGGTAATGGCTGGATGTGTGTGGGTGCTACAGGGCAGCCAACAGATTTCTGCTCTGCCGTTTCATTTTGGAAGAATGTCTTTTCAACTCTGATGCCTCAGCATCAAATAAACATTTAAATTTCAGTGAAACCTGTTGGACTTTGGTTGAACAAGCTGGCCAGGTTAGGATAAAACCCCTTAAACCTCTGAATGTCATGAATATAAACCAGTAAAATCCAGCAAATGCTGGCTGTAAATTGAGGATTAAATTATAAAGATTCTTACTTGGTGTGTTTTTTTTATGCTAACCATGTTTGAAAAAGCTCAAAGGAAGGAGAAAGAAAAAAGCAGAGCATAGACAAATTCTGGTACTGATCAGGACTGCACAATCTAAAATACACCCAAACAAATCTCCACACATGTACAAAAATCATCAGGAACAAAACAAAGAGTCGCTGCGGTTCTGACAGGATGGTCCAGGAGCGACCCGGACCACAGTCCATGTGTCGGCTTTTTAAGTGCAATCCACAGCAAAGCTGAGGCCCGACTCGGTGCTTCTGGGTTCAGCACATCAGCCACAGCAACTATAAAGCACAGCTAGTTAGTGATCAACACCTGCTCATTCCTCCAATCACAGGTGGCCATTTAACCATAGCAACACAAAAATTACATCTATAACAAGACAAAAATACAAAAATCCCTTTGTTCCTTCTGTTGCCATAAGCGGTGTGTTTAATGCCGACTCAGTATAGACAATCAAAAAAAACACATGATGCTCAGTTTAAAATGAAAAATAATCATCCGAATTTAAAGCAAATAAAACTTTATATTCCCCCGAACTGTTTCTAATCATAACTCAAATGAGTTTCATTCCAACAACAAGCAGGAGAAATAATGATGGAAACACTGAAGACACAGAAAAATTACAGTATAATTATTCATCCTAACTCAGCTTAGCAAACAAAAATGTTCAAATATTACAAAACTCTATAGGAATCTATGTATTTATCAAGAAAGATGTTGGCTGATCCTGATGTGCAGCTTCGCTTCACAGCTGGCTGAAATGATCTTTAGTCAGGACGGATAAAGTGTTGTTCAACCTGTGACACTTTCTGAGCCAATATCCTGCAGCTATAATGACGTTTATGTTTGTTTGCAATCATCATCTTCAAGACTATTATTTAGGAAGTAGCACAACTGGTAAGATTTTGATATTTTTGTTAATCTTGTATTTTAATGTTAACTTTTATTCATTTTTTGCAGAAATGCAGAAAGACATCTGTCTCCTCCTCCTTGCTTTTCAGCTTCATCATCCATTTATTATAAAATTTTCCATTTTCTTTAAACTTCCTGTTAGAGGAATGAAACTCTCCTGAGGACTCTCTGAGAACTAATGAGATGAACGCTTGTGCAGGCTGGGACAGGTAGTCCTGGTTCCACCCAGCCCTCTTTCACTTCCAGGTTCGGTCCCTGATCACATGACGGCGCCATGTGACTCTGGCCGCTCCTTGGAAAGTCAGAGTGGTGCGACGGAGGGGAAGGAAGTGGAGTTCAGAGGACGGCTGTTTGTTTTCTGACTCATCTGACCTCAGATCAGCGGAGGGAGGAGGGACAGGCAGGAAGACACTGCGCTGATTTCCTGTCTTTCATTCCAGAACACCTCAGATCACAGAGGAATTGCATATGTAAGCAGGAAAAAACCCCTTCCTGATTATTGCAAGCTACTAGTTTTCATTCATTAATTAAACAAACTACACAAACAGAGGGGGTTTATTCTCTTTAGAGCACTAAATTAAACACATCTCAGGTCATTATTAACTCAAACTAAATCTGTTCCATGCCTCTCTAATCAAAACACAAAAAGAAAAACAAAATTCATCCAGGTACAAAAGAAACTTGAACGTTAGTTCCCGAAAAGCAATTTGCCAGCTAAGTAAAATCTGCAGCCATCGTCATGTTTTCCTTTTGTTTTCCACAGAACTCCACCCATGAGGTAATACTGGGTCCAAATTCCAGGAATTCCCAGGCGGGTGAGTTTCAGGAGGCTGATTGCAACTCAGAAAACCTGCAACCAACAACCGTGGATACGAGAACTAACTAGAACCGCAAGGAAACAGTGAAATATTCTGGTCAAAATCAGATTTATGCAGCATTTTACTGAGTTTTCTGTCTGGGAAACCTGAGGACTGTCTACATAAGTCAAACTTTTTTTGTCCATCCTCTGACTAACAAGGCACTGTGCCAGCTCCTGAACAATCACAACACCCTTCCTTTGATAATCAGCCTGGTGTTCAGGAGTTGACCCATCATGGATTCCCTGTTTTAGTTTTTTGTTTTTCTTGCAGCTTTGTTTCATTTATGCATAAGCTCGGTTTGCTAGAAGGCACTATGTGACGTACAGGCGGAGGCTAGAGTTAGTTTTGGGGACTTTAGCTGATTTGTCAGAAGCAACTGCGTTAGTTCAACTAGAAAATCTCTACATTTAGCGTGACATCTACATTTTATCAGATAATAAACAGAAAAATCTATAATTATCTGAGGACAAATCTAAAAAAAAAAAAAGAGTAGAAAACTCCATAATATGTTAGAAAGGCCGACAGAGGCGCTAGGGGGGGTAAGACTCAGTTTCCTGCTAATTATCACTGTAGTTTAGGTTGTAGAAATGAAATAAAAATGAAGAACAGAAACTATTCAGGAGAAATTAAGTTGAGGGGACTGTGCAGGTGGAATATCTCGTTAGCACCTTTGTTTTGTAGTGAATTAGCCTAATTAGGAGGCATGAGAACAAGGTGAAGCTGTGATGCACAGTCTGACTTAATCCCAGAGTTCTGCAGGTCACCCAGTTAGTTCCAGGTTTTAATGATGATTTACTGTTTCAGAAACTTAATTTTTCCAGGAGGAAATCCATCATTTATGTTCATAGAAAGGAATCCTGAAAAACAAACAAACAAAAAAAAAAATCCTCTTCTTGGATCGAGATTCAATCAAAGAAACAAGGAAAATAACAAAATAATTAGGTGATATCTTGAGAGGAAGAGTATATTCTCCTCAGTGCCGAGACAAGATGAGTCCTGTGGAGGTTTGGGCGTTCCTCAGTCACTGCTGTCGTCATCGTCGTCATCGTCCGACAGGGTGTTGTTGTTGAAGTTGGCGCCCGGCCGGCTCATGGACTCCGAGCGCGGCCCGAGGCTTCCCGACAGCATCCCATAGCAATGCTCGCACACACGCACCGGCTTGGACGACTGGCTGGGCAGCAGGAACTTCTTCTCTGAGCACGGCCCACAAACCACATAACCGCACTTCCTGCAGTGGTGGCGCCGGCTGACGGGCGTGAACTTCACCTTCTTGCAGCGCATGCACACGGTGGCCTCGGAGTCAGGCACCCAGACGGCGGCGTGCTCGCCCGTCGGGGATTTTCCACTCTTCTGCAGCAGCTCTCTCACACACTTCCCGATATGGTTCATCCATTCGGACTTCTCCGTGGCGGTGGCGGCGTAGACGGCGAAGGACTTGGTGGGGGTCTTGATTAGCCAGCCGTTCCGCAGCTCGCCCTCGTCAGGCACCGTGTCGATGGTGACGCCCTCCAGAGGGATGATGTGCTGCTTGTTGTACTTCTTCTTCTGGATGACGATGTTGCCGTAAACCAGGATGTCGTTGAAGAGGAAGAACTGGCGGGCTTTGGGCTTCTTGCGGCAGAGTTTGGTGAGGACGCCCTCTCCGATCAGCACGCGACCGGGGATGGCGAGGGGCTGGCCTGCGGCGCCGAAGCAGCTCTCCACCAATCCGATCCGCTTAGAGTTGGCCTCGCTGTTAGCAAGCCGGTCCACCATCTTCACCTCGCCTGCTGGGGAAAGAAAACAAAGAAACACATTTAATTTTCCAACCTTTACAATTATGTTGGTCTCTGTAGCTTCCTGTCTCTGATTAGGGAGACTCAGTTCTCCCTCATGTTCTGTTAAAAAGGACGATGTTCAAAACAAAGTTCTAAATTTTGTGGAAAATTTTATTTATCAAAATTTTATACAGGCTAAATTACGGACAAAATATTTGCCAAATTATCAAAGATTCATATCAAAATAGAGAGGAAGTTTGCTAGCATTAGCCTAGCTTAGCTCTTAAGTAATATTGTCGATATATAAAGATTATGATCAGAAGGAAAATGCTAATTTACTGAGTGTACGTGTGGTTATAGCTATTAGGAAATAAGGTTGAGCTGGCCACCTGTTTTATGCTGAACATCATGACAACTTCCTGAAACGTCGTCTGGAGATTTCTGGTGACACGGAACAGGACACAGTCACACTAATGCAGATCACAAGAGCATTTTATGTACATGTAAAAAGATATAATTAACTTCTTTATAGCATCTTTTTTAACAAAACCAAGTGCTAAATCATTTCTATGATGAACTCTTGCTTATTTCCACCTCCTTAAAAAGATCTTTCATTTTTAATCAGGGGCGGGGGTGGTTGTGGTCTGATCTCCTCCATTTTCTTCCCTCTGCAGAAAAATTAACGGTAATTTTCTCTGACTCAAACAGCTCTGGTCTTTGAGAATGTTACGCCATTTGCCATGGCTATAATTTACATAAATATATGCATTTTTCTGAAAATGCTTACATTTAAATGATGACAGGCTGTGTGAGTGCTTACAGATTATTTGCTTGTTTTCGGAGCAGATCTGCCTTTCAATCAAGTTTGGCAATTAGTGCCAATTCTCTCACCATTCAGCAACTGTAGATACTTTTGGATCTGATCCACTTTGTCTTCACTGATAAAAAAGTTAACGTGATTAAAAAAAAAAAAGAAAAAAATACACAACACTTAAATGCTTCCTTAGATAATTTTTTACCACTTGCCTTCATAAGAACTTAGATTTAATTGTACCGAATCAAATTGCTCAGTATGTTATTAGATCTAAATTTGAATACTTAATTAGATTAAATGGAAATTAAGTGGATTAATTTGAATTTCATTTGGACGTTACTGCATAGAAATTTAGTGTTTTGCTAAATTTATTTTAATTTGAGGCATGAATAAACTCAATTTAATTAAGTTAATTAACAACCGGACCACCTAATTCAACCTCTTGTTATTGCTAAGATATTTCATAAAGGCACATTTTCTTTCCTGATAAAAGCTGTTATGTATATTATATTGCTTCTGAAATGCCCAGTTTTTGAAACTTTTAGAAGAAAACTCCAAAAAACAAGAATAAAAGACTGAAGGGTTGCAATTTCTGCTATGACCTAACTGGAAACTCAGCACAACTGCTGGATTCTTCTTCAATAAAGCACAATGGAGAACTGTCAAGGTCAAAGGTCAGTGGCAACAGTAATGAAAGGGTGACTGCTCTCCGTCTCTCCAGCAAGTCTGGAGGGTTGAGTGCAGACCGATAATGCCAGTAAACAACACAAGTATAAGATTCAGTTCTGGATTAAGTTTAAAGGTTTTCATTTATCTTTGCTGTGGAAATTTCTTTTTCTTTTCATGCATTTAGTTTTAGTTTCTGCATTCAGCTTGAGTAAAACTATCAATAAAGAGCAGCAGAACTTAAAGCTGTAGTCTGTTCAACCTCCTGTAGAACGGACAGATATTAGAGCCCAAAAATGAAAAAAGAAAAAAGGGTACAACCTTTAAAAGATCAAAGACAACAACAGCATCTGATTTGTACCCAAGAAGGCAACAAATGCAACAGATAAAAGAAGAAGAAGCCTCCAAATGCACTTTGCACTACATGCTGAGAATCAATCGGCAGATAGAGACGGTTCAGAGCAGCAGGAGGACAAAGACAGCGGTTCAGGTCCAACAGAGCTCGATGTGTCCCTCAGGACTCAGCAGGTCAAGAAGGAAAACTTAAATGCACAAAGCAAAAAATCTCAATTAGATCAAGTAGTTCCCAAGTCTCAGTGAGCTTCAAAATAAGCACATTTTTACAGACAGCCATGAGCTGGGAACTTCAAAGGTTATTATAACTTAATAAGGTTTAATCTAAGGTGCTAAATTGAATGAACTGGTCTAAATGAGGTCATTTCTAAGGTAATTGGTTTGAAAAACAAATTACATCTTTAATTGTTCAATTATCTCACAGCTATCAGTGTTTGACATTGTTATTGTTATTTTAAGATGGAATAAAATAGTTGTTGACTGGTGGACTAATTAATTTGAAAAAAATAAAAACAAAGCAAAATATATACATTTTGCTTCAACAAATAAATACATTAAATTAAAAAAATATATTTTTCAATTTATAATTACATGAACAAGTTTAATGGGCTTGATAAGCATTTGCAAACCAATGTTTACTATGTTATTGACATCTTAATAGCATTGCAATTAAATTGACTCCGACATTGGCTTGCTATGCAGCTTAAGCTCCTTACAGTGACCTATATGAATTACTGCATGAAAACAGCAACAGCTTGAGAATGTTTTTTATGATATAAATGACATGTAAACAGAGCACGAGCCATTTCTACCGCTAGAGCTAGACGCACGTGTTTGTTTTGGTTGCATTTAACCAGAATGTCTTGGGCTATAGTCTGCTTTTGAAGCAGTCTCCACTTGGTGTTCACATTCACACAGCACTGGAGTTCACTTCAAACGAAACAAAATGTAAGTTTTTAGGCGGACTAGAGTTTGCTTTATTGGAAATGCGATTGTGCAGTAGTAATTAGTTTGTAGACTAGTACAAACTAAGTTTGATTAAAGCGGACTAAACAGGGTTGGTGTGAATGACAGCCAGAGATTAATCGTAAGAGTAGTCATCCTGACGCATGAACTGACTTTTGATTTGCACTAGTTTGTTAAAAGCTGGGTTGGCTGCTCCTGAACAAACAATAAAACTGTTGCACAAAGTAATGTGCTGGTGTAACCGTATTCCTTCCCTGCCCTTTAAAAACCTCCAGAAGAAGAAACTATGCTAATTAGCCAGCAAATGCCAGAACAGCTTGGGCCAACTCCACAGTGATCTGCACACTAATAACCCAAAGTGAGCAAGTGAACTGCCTTAAAAGCCTTGGAGAGGACAGTGGTGCTGCTGACACATCCAGCCTGATAGCAAG